TGCAGACACTCGATCTGGACTGAGAAATGTTCAGTTAGGACCAGTATTTATCGTACTGCTCAATGACCTCAAAATCAATCGATCATCCAGTATGTTCGTCTGACTTCTGTTCCAGAGCAAACTTTTCCAAATTTGGGTACCAGCTGTGTGACATAACTAAGACAGAATTATGATTTCGAATTTTTCAATACATATGCAAACCACGGAGAAAATTAAACGAATTCTTGAAGATTCAATGCTATTTAATTGCAGCAATGATTTTTCATATTACTTTCACTTGTTCATTTTGACAAACTCATATCTGAATTTTTCATATAGAGACCACGGTACACCATTACATATTGTTTTTTGTATTCAACAATTAGGTACCCATTCAGGCTGCCGACGAATATTTTTTGACATTTCACAGTCTGTTATTTCAATTGTAGATTAGGTATACAAGAAATTTCTTGAGTTCTGAAATATTTCATGAAGATAGCAAAGTTTTTATGAAATTATGTTCAACATACGTCAGTTTCAGAGATGAACTGTAATTGAACTGAGATTAAAATTGAATTTTTTCGTGAATATCTGTTAAAACTAAAAATCTCGTACATAGGTTGGAACTTATGAAGTTCATATCTTTATTTCTTTAGAAATATCTGCACAAAGTCAATGGTTCATAAAATGTTGTTAGGAAAAAGAAAAATTCAAATGAGGTATAATTTGGAATTCTTCCCTGAACTAATTCATTCGTTTGTAAAAAAGATGATCTTGATTTTCATCAGACATGATATATTCTCAGGTGTATTCGATCATTTATTCTCAAAATTCGAGAAACCTGATGAAAAATTTTGGGAAAGCAGGAGCAGTTGGAAAATACAATAATTGTCATTGTTCTTTATCTTCCATTCAGTACCCAGTTGAAGTAGTGTCTCGAAAAGCAATTAGGAAGCATGTATGATCTTTTTCTCATCGATTTCTGCAGACAGCGAAAAAAAAGTCATTCTCATCGACCACCGGCGTCGTACGAATCAAAGAGTAGATAGCCCAACGTGAGATAATTCAGAAGGATCGAGTTCAGCGACGGTCGTGTCCATTGGTGAAGTCCCTGTCCCTTGATTGTCATAAGATCATATATTTAGTCGCAAACAATACAAATGACAAGTGCAGATGCTCCACCACGCATGAACGACATGATCTATACAACTCTTGATATATCTGACAGAGTTTCTTCTGAAAACTGATGACATGTCAGTCGAGTTGATCGAAATGACATAATCACCATTGATTTTCATTGATGATGAGAGGTTGATATTTTTGACAATTCGTTGAAGATATCACCAACAAGATTCCAATCGTGTGAGAAAAATTTCAATTGCAACTACACTTGTATTCAAAACGATACAAACATTAGATTGACAAAACTAGAACTGTGTGCTATTTTCCTGATTATATTAGCCAGATGATTCTCAACAATTCAGTGGAATAATGCTTCACAGCTCATAAGCTTTATGCCTCATGACAAGAAAGCATATCAAATATCATGCTCCTATCAACACATGTCCCTTCTGAAACACTGTGGCATCGCAAAATGCATTGACATATTACTATGTTCTGTTAGGAATTTTTTTGGTGTTATTAACAGGAGTTGTTTGAAACAACATTCATAAAAAATAAGTAACAACGTAGATAAGCTCGTCTCCATCACTTAAAGTTACCTTTTCTGTTAGACATCGTAGTTCATCCCTACTGTAGTCCAACAACTGTATGGTTTCAAACTTCGAAGGGTGAATGAACGCCTTGAAGTGAGCCAATCCTGGAAGATTTTGCCAGAATTCTTCAAATTTTCTTTCCATCCATGTGTTGGTTTGCTCAAAACCTATAGCGATGCCAATGACAGGTTCTGATCCGATGAAGGTACTTGCAGCACCCTCTTTTGCAGGGGAGTCAGCAGCATCAGACAATGTGTTGAGTCTTCTTTTTGATGGAATATTTCTTTTGGCAATGTGGAAGAGGTCATTCCCAGAATGCTGTCGTTCAGTGTCAGCCAGCAGTCTAATGTACTCTGCATTAGATTTCTATGTGCAATTGGCGATGAACACAAGTCTATATACAATCCATCTAGCCTCTCTCTCCAGAAAAGTGTGGAGAGGAGGTAGTTCCATGACCATGATCTCCATGACCGCTGACGGTGTGGTACTGATGGCACCACAGATAGCCAGACAAACCTGTCTCTTTGAGCCAGAGAGCTTTGCCTGAGCCGTTTTCTGTAAAGCTTCCGGCCACCAGGCATTTGCTCCATAACTGGTCATCTATGATTATGAATATCTGTTAAGATAACACTCCAGATGAACCTGTCTCATTTTGGAACGTTTCTATTGGCGAATCATTTGATCCACTCCACCACTAGTATGATAATTCATATTCTGATAATGAACTGACACGTTAACTTGTCAATTTTGAAAAGATTGTAAACATAGATTTGCAGATACACAAATACTTTTTATCAGATATCAGTTGTCACTACAAATCATTTGAAAACGAAATACTTACATCATAATTGAGAGTCACACAGGCTTTCTAGTCTATGGACCCTTGCTTATTCATCGAAAACTGCAAAGGTTTTGAAATCTCAAAATATTTAATGAAATTATCAATAACAATCATGATTTATCCCAACTTAGACCAGATATTTTTCTCGAGAGAATTTATCTAGTTGAAGCTGACGCACAGCGAATGGCTATGATGCCCCCTAGGTAGCTCATGGAGTTATTACCATTGCCTAACCAGGGCACGAGGCTAATGACCAATGTAGTTGTTGCCGTTGAATAAAACAATAATGATTTGTTTCTTCTTCTTTGCCTCTTCCTATCTGAAATTACTACGATGAATGATACTGTTTTCCTAATTGGTTGGATCGATTTTTCTCGGAAACAGAAACTTTTACCGAACAGCAGAAATATCATCTTTTTTGCAAACATATCGATAGGTTTTTAGGAAAAATTTTGAATATAACGAAAGTTTCATAATCCCTATAAATATATATACAGTGTCACTATTAAAGTGCGCACCATATAGGAAACTATTTTTTCGAAAAGTTTCAATGAAGTTTAACTTCGGCATTTGTTTGTGCTTCAAATTTAACTTGAAATGATGCGGCCAACTGCGACCCACCGACGTTCAGTGTTTGTCAATTTCAACTTTTTTTTTTTTTAATTGAAAAAGTGCATTCCTAGATCGAATTTAACAAAAAGTTACTTGAAAAAGTTGTGTCTACGGCAATTTTATATCCATATGCCAAATTTTATGCAACTAGGATAAAGTTAACGTTTTGCTTATTTTTGACAGATATCCCCTTTATTTTAGAAAACAAGTTCGGTTAATTTATTTGAAGAGAACGTTGCCTCATCTGTCCATAAAATTTTATACGGAAACTTTACATTTTCTTCTCTCTCTCCTCGAAACCAGAATGAAAACACCAAGTGGACATCAAAATCTCGTTCTTTCAATGTGTTAATGAATTTTGGCTTGTAAGGCCAAAATTTATTCTTGAATAAAATTTTTCTGACACTTTCTCTCTTCTAATCGGTATTTTTTATAATATCGGTTATGCTCGTTTGCCCGTGTTTAATAACTTCTGAACAAATGTTAAGCTGGGCCTCCTCATCATATTTACTTGGAGTGTGCTTTTTCTTAAATTGATTTGCTACGGATCCTGTTTCTCTGAATTTCGGCATTATCCGACACAGTAGTATGTTGAACATTTTTTCCTGGATGCCGTTCATTAAAAATGTTAGCTACTTGCCGGTATGGTGTATTCTCACCACATATTAAAACTATTTCTATTCTTTCCTGAAGAGACAACATTATTGCAACAATAACTGTTAAAAATTTGACAAGTAAATCAACAACTTGACATTACCATAGCATGCATTTTGTTTGTCAAGACCTACTTAAAAATTTTATTCAACGTGATTAAGCATCCTTACCGCCCTAGTTAGTGTTTATAAATAATTTGAATATACTGAATATTGAAATTTTAATGTAATTTCAACTCTAGTAATTTTATTAATAATTATTGCAGTTTTTGAGTTGTGGCTGCTTTTTCAAAATTAAAGGTACTGACGTTTGTTTAAGAATATAGCCAAGTGATTGAAACTTTGCACCAGTCATGTTAAAATTTTTATAGCACATTTTCAATTTCTCTCTAAAAATGTCCGTATAAGTAAAAATTTATCAGAAAAGTTAAACTCCATGATGAGTTTGTTATGTATACATGAATTGATGACAATTAATCGAATTTGTTTTTTAAAATAAAGGGGATATCTGTCAAAAATAAGCAAAACGCATCCTAGTTGCATAAAATTTGGCATATGGATATAAAATTGCCGTATACACAACTTTTTCAAGTAACTTTTTGTTAAATTCGATCTAGAAATGCACTTTTTCAATTTTTTTCAAAAAAAAAGTTGAATTCGACAAACACTGATCGTCAGTGGGTCGCAGTTGGCCACATCATTTTAAGTTAAATTCAAAGCACAAACCAATATCGCAGTTAAACTTCATTGAAACTTTTCGAAATAAGAAATGCATAGGAATATTTCTTCATAAAATTAAACAAGAAATCTCACGTATATCATTAACAAATCATCAGTCATCAGGAGAAACCAGTCACATGACACTAAGTCTGAGCAAAGCAGTAATTTTGTTATCCACACTCAGTTTCGACTGGGACTTGATTTGATGGCAAAACTGTAGGAAACAAACAACTTTTACTTTGACATTTTTTCAATGTAAGCTGCGTGATCATGTCCGGTTCTGACATCGACAGCTTTGTCGATACTTTAAAAACTTGCAACGACAGTTTGGCATATAATATAAAACCTAGTTGGAACGAATAAAAGTGAATCACCCTGTACATTACCATGTATGAAATCATAGACTAGAGAACACCGAAATAGTGAACACATGTGCAAGGAAAAGCAAGATAAGGGTCTAAACAGGAGAGAACCACTTACCCATGCCTTTGTTTTGAAGCATCTCCAACAATTTTTTTATACTCTCATCACGAGCCTGCAGCGTCTGTTTTTGTGTTTCTATCCGGAGCTCCAGTTCCTGCGAAGAAGATGTTCAGCATGAGTGTTCTGCGGTCGGAGTGTTTGGCGTGACGAAGGAAAAGATGAGGGATGAAGAGGTGTGAATTGTTTAATCGTTGAGACGGGGTGGAAGTTTCTGTTCTCATTTCGTTATTTTCATGTGAACCATACTCTAGAGTAGGGATCCTTCGAGGGTTCTACTCTGGAGTGGTTCTGTACGGAGACGTTGAGAAGCCACAAATGATTTTCAAAAGGAAATCACTAAAAGTATAAATTTGAATTCAACAAAAATTTTATTTCAAAGTCGTAATTTAAAAGTAATACTACATTATATTTCGACTGCAATCTGGAAATATTGTTAAATTCGTACTTGAATCCGAAATTTTCTTCATCTTTCAAAAATTCACTATTCTGAACCCATAATTTTATTGAATTCCGACTTTGTACTGAAAATTTTGTTATATTTCAATTTCCAACTCAAAATTTCATCATTTTCTACTTTGATTTTGGAGTTTTGTTGAATTCCGACTGAAAATTCTTATTTCAAACTCAATGTTTCCATAAATTTCAAATTTTATCTCAAAATTTTGTTGACTTTCAACGTTAAACTCTGAATTTTGAGAAAATGTATGAGTTTACAATATTGATTGATCGGAGTTTCATTAAAAACCAACTTTGAATCCAGAATTTTGTTGAACTTCAAACATGAAATCAGAAATTAAACAATTTCCAATTCTGTTCTCGAAATTTTGACCCAGAACTGGGGATTTTGTGAATAACAACAACAGCGTCCGAAAATTATTTCAAGTTCTTTAAAGTGTAACATACCATCATTTTGAACCATTTTGCAAATTCTATAGAAGAAAAGTGTCCATCACATTTTTAAAAATATTGGTTTCCGTTGAATTTGGATAACATTTTTTCATAAAAAGTCAGTTTTGCATTCAAAATTTTGGTAGATTCTCCTTTGAATTTGTGCAACTTCTTCATTATCGTTGATAAGATACGTCATTGTCAGTAATGTTCAAAATTCAACAATGTTGATTACCCAGGAAGGATACGTAATTATTTTTTTCAATTTACTTAGAAAGATGCAATGAAATATTCAACGAAATACGATGAAGTGAAATCGATCGCGATTTGAAGGATGATTCGTAAAATCTGTGGAAGTTCAGGTAGCATAATATATAAGGACTAACGAGGTCTTAAATTTTAACGTGTGATTCCTAAAACGGATTGGACGATAGCAAGTGAAAATTGTTCATTGAGCCTGCGGCTTGAACCACCGACTCACACATCGGTCGAATGAGTGAATGAACAAAGCACCCAACACGAGTCTGAACTTTTTGGGGTCCTCAAAACGGAACTAATTAGACTGTAAAGGTTGAAATTTCAGCACATGTTAAACTGATTTTTTCTTCAACTACCATGAAATTGAAAGCAACTTCTGGAATTCCACGTAGCGCTGTTTCAAAGATCTTAAATTTGCAATGGTTTCATAAGATTTACTGTATGAAAGATTGTAGTGCAGATAGTTCGAATTGACTTAGAGACTTTTGTGGGAGGATGAGTAGAATAATTTCGAAAAATCTCAAAATCAAAAAATCTCTGTTCTACAAAGTGCACATTTTCACTTCGTGGTTACGTCAACGAACATTTGCAGTGTTCTGAAAAGTTGATAGGTGATGGGTCAACTTCCTTCAAGACTCTATTCACCTTGTTGAAATTAACGATCAATTGATGGAGAATGAGGTATTATACCAACAGGTTGGAGCTCCGACATTCATTCCATTGAATGACCTCCGAACTCACCAGACCTGACACTACTGTACTTCTTTTCAATATTGAATTCAACCTGCTCCTTTGAATGATTCAACATACCTAAAAGAGGTAGCATGTAGTGAAATGACGTCTAAAACATTGAATAAAATGTTAAACACAGATTTTGTTTCATGGCAGTAAATGGATAGCAATTTGGGAATTCAATCAAATTGAATTTGTTTTTCCATTCAGTCCACCAACTTCTTTTTTCATTAACTTTTTCGAATGGACCACCGTAAATGTTCACTGATTCATATAAAGTAACTTCCAGTTTCATTTGCATTTATTTATGTTAGTCTGTTATGTCTTCATATAAATAAATGTTGATATTATCAATACCAGATGCAATTTCGGACAGAAAATCTGGAAATTTTTTATACCTCCATCCTGCAACCTGTAATGTTTGGGTCCCAAATAGACGCAGAAGATGCAAATAGCACTGTCAGAAATTACCTTTATAGTGTCTCTTAAAATGGTAATTTCTCTAGTTAAATGTTCGTTTTCTTGATATAATGCCTCCATCTGCTGCTGCAGCTCTATGCTCGGTCCCCTCATCCGCATTCGTAATTCTTCTTCTAATTGACGGACTAACATCGCTTGTTTCTGGAAATAAATATAGGCATTAGAAACAATGGTTAGGTAATTGAACGGTATTGTGAATCGAATGAAATCACAACATTTTATATCAAAGGACAAAAAATCGAAGGACTCATATTTTTGTAACCATGCAACTCAATTGGAGAGACATTAATCTATTTTTTGTCATTTCTTAATTACAGTGAACGCAAAGTTGGCCAATTGAGCCAGGAAAATTCACAAAGCTACAAGGTGTCGGACCAAGTTGAAGTTCAAATGTCAGAAGATTTATGTCTATGTGGAATTCTCTATTATATTTTCATTCATCATTCAAAGATAGAGGTATTTTCTCTGGAAGTTTTTCCACATTATTCTAGCAATTTATTCTTCGAGAATAAAGGGAATTACAAGAGATATCGTTCATTTTGCAACTAGGTTATTGCAGGGTCTTTGGAAATGACTTCTGCAGGAAGACACATTTATCCAAGAAATATGTGGAACTGACAAAACCACTGTAATTTGTTTCTGAAGTCATCAAAGTGTGTGATGTGATAACATCTGTAGTTGAAGTTTTATCGCAACTTTCCTGATATTTATTTGAGGATATTCACACTCAACATGAACGAACAGGTATACACTGTTGTCGAGAACAGTATTACTAACAGAACATAAACAAATATTTGTTATTGATTATCCAAAGTGATGTTATTTTGAGGACACACTGAAAACAATATGTCAAGGATAAAAACAGACTCATTATTCCAGTTATACATCAATCAACTTACGAATTTTGTTTTTATATCCGTCACATAGAAAAAATTGGTCCTCGAATATTATATGAAGATTTTTCCCATGCATGAAATATATGTTGTATCGTAGCTTATACTCTGAACGTTATAAAAATATTTTGAATCTCACGTTTCTCTTCGAAGTGATGAAAATGCATATGTTTTCAACCAATGAAATATCAGTATTACTACTGATGTGTTCAAAACGATGAAATGGGTCTGTTTCACTTCCGTATCATCAAGAACAGAAAATTGAAAAGTACTTGAATATAAAAAATGTATAGTTATCTGAAATATCATTATTTCAACGCCATATTGAAGACACCATTTTGAAAATAGAGAAAAAGGTTAATTATTTTCATTTCTTATGAAACATTTTGACTGACATACGAGAAAGTTTGTTTCGGAATATTACATGTACCTACATTATTTACATGCTGCAAATCATATTACATCGTGAAAACATCATATACAGGGCGTTCCAACAAAAACTTGATCCTCCCTGTAAGTCTGAAACGGTCGTTCCTGCACTGGTAGTTTTTGTAGAATCTAATTGTCGCAGAACAAAAAGTAGATAGTTGGCCACTGTCACTTCTTCACGAATTATTATTCAGTCATCTCTGTCCACTGTGTTCCAACATGGTTTATTCTACTGAAGGAATAATAGAAATTGTTGCAACCTATTATCGAAATAATGAATGTGCTAAAGCTGCTGCAAGAATTTATGATACGAATTATCCAGACCACAAAGTGAGGCATTAATATATTAAACAGTTAATGGATAAGTTTTGAATTACATGGTCTATTCACAACAGAAAACATGAATTATCCCGTCCTGTCAGAAATGACAGGGTTGAAGTTGCAGTTTTAGGGCATGTACAAATGGATGATCGACAATCAATCAGACAAGTAGCTAGAGCGTCTGGTGTATCAGCAATAAGTGTTTTTCGGATTTTGAAAGCCTACAAATTCCATTCCATTTGTGAGGTGTTGAGATGGTAATTGACCAATAACCCAAACCTATTATACAATACATGTTAATAAATTGGTGGATGGTGAATTGAAACTTTCTATATCTTTTACCACTTTTATTTGTAACTAACGTTACTGCAGTTTCGTCCTATAAGGACATTTTCAAACTTATATATTAAGTTTGTATAAGTTTGAAAATGTTCTAATAGGACGAAACTGCAATAACCTTAGTTACAAACAAATGTTTTTCAGGCAAATGTTCTTTCATGATGAACGGTGAAGTGAATAGGCATAATTGTCGTTACAGGAGCGATGTGAATCCTCATTTGGTGATGGAAACACATTCACAAACTCCACAAAAATTGAATGTCTGGGCCGGCATTCTTGGTAATCATATCCTTTGGATCATTCTTAATTGAAGGTAATCTCAATGGAGACATATACTTAAATCTATTACACAACTGTCTAGATACTATGATTACACAAATTTGAGAAAATGATGACAATTTAGTAGATAATGACATAATATTCCACAGTAAGGTGCACTACCACATTTTGATGTTTGGGTGAGACAGTTTTTCAAATGTGTTGGATCGTCAGAAGGGGTCCAGTGGAGTGGCCAGCTAGATCACCTGATCTCACACCGATGGACTTACTTCTGTGGGGACTCTACTACGACTGAGAATTGTTCGGGAATGCCGATTGCTGACTCCGGACATCTTGAATAATGTACGGAACGCTTTCGAGAGTAGACTGTATTTTTGTATGGAACTAGGTGGAGGTCATTTTGAACAATTCATCCGTCGATTTTGTTTCCACTGATATTATTTGTTATTGATTTTCTCATTGAGATGAACGACAGCGAATTTTCTGTGTTTTCCTGAATGAAACGTTCCATATTTAATTTCTCAATAACGAATGAACCAATTTCGAAAAAAAAAATACAGAGGTAATGTTACAACCCATTTTCCCAGTAGTCTTATTGTAAATAATTTCCTAATAATTAGCAACTTATGTCCGGACGTTGATAACTGAAGTTAATGAAATATCCTTACCATTCAATAATTTACCTTTCAAAAATATAATCATAAGTTTTCTGGTATATTATTCATTGGTCTTCGTGCGAACTATTGAATACAATCTATGTGAGATCAACAAAGACAGAGAAACGGTCAATTGTCTTCTCTCGTCTCCTCGAATCCTTCCAACAAATATTGAGTTTTATAGGTTTGTTGATCACCCGTCCCACCAATTTTGGAATTCTTGGTGCACGGTGAAAATAGGACATTCAGTCAGTAAGTTAGTGTACTGGAGATCAGCGACTTGGTATTGTTACATACGAATTAGTTTGATGCTCCAATCGATACCAATCCTGAAATTTCCTGCTTTTATGGATTTGTGCACTGAACTTCACTGGAGGAAATTTGGTGTCTTATCATTTTCTTTTGGAAACCTACTATTGAGTAAATGAACCCGCTAATATTGAGGTAAGGCAAAAACAAGCAATGAAAATAACTAATCTTTCGTCTCCTTTGATGTGTTGTATGCTACGATTCGAATGGTATAATTTTTAGGCTTCCAGTTTTGGGTTTTCCATTTTCTTGAACGCACCACAGATCACTATCGATTTATTGCTTGACGATAGATTGTCTGGGTGGAACAGGAAAAATCTTCAAAGTCCTGCCGAGCTAAGATCCGAAGTACTGTCGTAGGATCGGTATTCGTGAAGACTATTTGGTCTATTTTCTTTATAAAATATTACAAGAAGGATAAGTCCAGTGAGCGAGTATTTCTCCATTGTTCATCTTTAATTTCTACCGCTGGGATTGCTGCTACGATACTGCAAAAACCAAGAAATACCAGTGCAGGTTATTCCTTGACTATAAAAATTTTATTATCACATGAATATATGAGACCATATTTTCTTATGTCATAATAATAAGTTTTATTTTGTGAGCCAATCATAGCTATATTTGGAGATTCATATATGAATGATATGTTGTGAGATTGATGCAAATATCCACCAGAGTTATCAACTTGTATTGGTTAAATAATATCTAGTAAATCAATTATTTTTATTGGACATTAAGTGTTGATTGTTTATGATCGGTTGTTATTTATAATTATCGATTATATTTCTTTCCCGTTCAAGTAAGTTTCTTGGCGACACAAAACCGTATTTAACGGGTGGCGCCCATTTATTTTATATAACATCTCTTTTTTTCAGATTTCCCACGTCCACACCACTGAGTGAGCAGGCTGGTTTTGGTCGTCAAGAAATAATAATTCAGCATAATGTCAGATATTTATAGAATAATTTTCATCTCATTGTAGATGAAGATTCATATTGAAATAATAGTAACCTAGCATTCGAACTGCCCCCGTAACAGTGATATAGGGATAAAGAACTTCCAAATTATGTATCACTCGACTCCCCATGCCATTGAAAAAAATTGAGGGGGGGTAGTTGCTGATCGCAGGGTGGTGAAGTTTCGGGTATGGCGAATTGGTCTTTATTAAACCCACAGTATCCATATTGTATTTTCATTTGACATGGATATTGAATGTTCATCTACCGACAAGAAATCAAAACATTATTTACGAGTACTACGCCTTCGAAGTAGCAAACTTTTGAATCAATAAATGTTCTGTTGCAAACAAAGTTTTCATTTATTGAAGGATCGATTATGTTTTTTGTGTGACTCGAATAAACTGATCGATATTGGCCATAAAAAACCCAGGTATGACACGAATGCGAGTAGGTCAGTGTAGTCGACCGACGATGAAAATCCCCCATTATTCGGTACTATTGAAAATCGGCGAGACCACATGAAAAGCGTGCTTAGGATTTTCAGGAATGCGTTATTAAGCCTTGCTTCCGATGCATCGGATTGAGATTCCACCTGTTCATAGTATATGTAATATAATGCTTTGAGGGTTTCGGGAAACTGAATATCCATTATTCAATATTGGACAGTCGAAATTTCAATTTCTTGAGCAACCAACGAAAACGTGTTTGGAAATGTTTCCAACATTATTGAATGAAAGAATTTCTATTTTGTTTTTTTGGGTATTCAAACTGTCATTTGAATCAATATATGCAGAGACTCGGACTTTCAGAAGACAGTGTGTATCGCCTCTGTTTATAAAATGATGAAACAGCAGAGCACACACTTTGTGCCTGCCCCGCTACGGATAAAGTAGATATTTTTCAAAGCGGGTTCCAGCGTGACGGAGCTCAAAGTAAGCCATTCTAGCTGTAGT